GGAACCCATTAATCATTCTAAATGAGATTTTTTTTCTTTCAAATGAAAGCAAAGATGGAGTCTTGTGTGGATGGAGTCTTGTATGAATGGAGTGTTGTGTGAATGGAGTCTTGTGTTGTGCTGATGGTGTCTTGTGTAGATGGAGTCTTATTTGGATGAATTCTTGTGTGGATGGAGTCTTGTCTTGTGTGGATGAAGTCTTGTATGGATGAATTCTTGTGTGGATGGAGTCTTGTCTTGTGTGGATGAAGTCTTATATGGATGGAGTCTTGTGTGGATGGAGTCTTGTCCTCAGAACACCAAATTTCCTTGGAGGAGTAGAGAGAGGGTTTTATTTAGCTTACAATTAATGTTTCAATAGATGCTACAACATAGCTAAACTTTGAAAATAAAATTTCAAGTGTAGATTGTAAGATACAACATGTCATATATTGCATATATCCAGGATAAACCTATCCATCAATTCAGAATGTATACTAGTGGTTGCCCAAAACTGTGAAATGAATTAGGAGTGCCTACTAACAGTTATAGGCTTTGGGGACAATAGAAGTAGTTTAATTATACAGTAGTTATTATTATACAGTTTTTTTAATATACTAAAATACCAATGAATATGTCCACTTTGGAAACAGTAAAGTTTTATATGGAGGTATATTTTAATAAAAAGAGAAAAACAAATTTATATTGGTCATTGAATTATGACCAAATTTTTTCATATTGGAATTTTAAGTCATGCCTTCTCCAAATGGTTTGTAGCATGCATTAAATCAAGAGTGATGAGTTCCTCACCAAAATTTAAGAACTGCTGAGCAAGGCATGCTACTGACTGCCTGCAATCCAAGTACTAGAGAGGTAGGGACAGAAGGAGCAGGAGTTCAAGCCAGTCTTGACAACAAAGTGAATTTTAGTCATCCTGGGCTACACAAAGCCCAATCTCTACCCCACTCAAACCCCACAACAAAAAATATTTAGAAAAAGAGAAATTTTAGTGTTTCAGGCAACCCTTGCCTTAGCAGGTATTGAGGAGGCTTGTACTAGCTAAGGCTAATTATTCCTCTCTAGTCTATCTAAATATGTTTTGAACAAGAATTTCAGTACTTTTCTAGACTAGGAGTCAAATTATATTCCTCACCTGGGGAGAAAGAGTCTGGTAATTATAAATCACCATTAAATCCTCAACCCAATACCCATTACCTAAATTCACTATGGTTGGACTCTCTCTGTCTCTGTCTCCCTCCCCCCTCACTATCTCTGGGAGTACTATTTCTGTCTGGTATCAGAGCCCAAGCAGCATTAGAGCAATACTCATCTGGGTAAGAATAAATGTATAAACTGATGGATGAGAAGTACTTATCTTCACTGCCTTAGAAATGAACTCTGACCCTGGCTGGCCCAACAGTAGTTCAGATAATTCATTAGTGGAGCTTTGAAACTTCACACATCTATTCAGCAGAAGAAAAGGGACCGTAGCACCTAACCCACACAAAAATATAATCACAAAAGGGACATTTAGGAATAGATTTGTGGACCCTATCAGACAACAGAAATTCCTGAATACAGTTTATATATCCTGTGGACAATTATGGACCTTTTACTGAGGTATCAATAAAAACCTGGGCCCGCCTATTGTAGTGGCACATGCCTTTAATCCCAGCACTCAGGAGGCAAAGGCAGACGGATCTCTGTGAGTTGGAGGCCAGCCTGGTCTACAGATCGAGTTCCAGAACAGCCAAGGCTACACAGAGAAACCATGTCCCTAGAAACAAAACAAATTAAAATAAAAAACCAAAAAAGGAAGAAAGAAAGAAGGAAGGAAGGAAGGAAGGAAGGAAGGAAGGAAGGAAGGAAAGAAAGAAAAGAAAGAAGAAATAAAACCCAGTAGCACACACATTTAATCTCAGTACTTTGAAGGAGAGGCAGATGGATCTCTGTGAGTTTGAACCTAGCCTGATCTATAGAACTAGTACAGCCAGGGCTACACAAAGAAGCCATGTCTCAAAAAGCCAAAAAAATAAAAAGAAATAAAAGCTCCTATGAATTTTAGCATGACACTAGAGCATTAAGGCACACAGAGGAGACTTCTGGTCACAACACTGACCATACCGAGGAAACCTGTTGTGGCTATAAGAATTAGCTGTGAAAAACTCAGATGTCACCTCTTCTCTGACCATTGTTATCAGTTGAATGTGAATGCGAGTCACCTTCTCCAGAGATTATGCTCTGTTCCACCTAAGATATCTGACTGGAGGTAGACTGAGTACATGTCTATCTATCCAAGTGAGTTCGGATCTCCAGATCTCCTTCATCCTGCCCCATCCTATTTCCTTTCCCCACTTTGACATATGAATGTCATCCCGATAACCTCCTTTTACAGGCTATCTTTGTAGGGAGATAAACCTAAAATAGGAAGTCTCTCTATCCATGTTCCAGCTAAAGTCATAAGAACAGGAAAACAGAAAACAAGTAGCAACTGATATTTATTTTGTCAAACAACAAATGGAGAGTGGAAGATGCTCCCCTGAAAGAACCTGCATAGAAAATAACCTCAATTTAATTTGTTCTCCAATTACTTTTCATTTGATAGAAGAAAAAAAAAACAAATGTTAATGATGGTAACAGCTAGATGCAGGTTGTGGAGATATATCCTACAAATGAATGTTTCATCAAAAATTAAATTGAAGAGGAAAGTGAAATATATGAATGTATAGATTAAAAGAAATTTATGACACACAGCAATCAAAATGTGTAGGTCTTGTTTAGCTTCTAAACCAATAACTTAAAAACACATAACATACCTTGAATTATGAAATACATATTTGTTTATAAATATATATGTGTGTATGTGCTTTTAAAGGAACTGTGAATATACGTGGAGGGTCCTTATTTTAGAAATATGCTCCTTGACTTTGAAATATGTCTAAGTCAATGAACTAGGTAAGGATTAAGAAAAAAATTGGCCAGGGCTTAATTGTAGAAGCTAGGCAATAAGTCCTTGTTTCTGTACCGTTCTTCTGTATTTTTAATATATTGGAAATTTTCCATAGTAGAAAATCAAAATAAAGTTAATGTAAAAATAAACTTTATTGCCTCATGGTGGTGGCACACACTTTAAATACCAGTATTTGGCAGGCAGAAGCAAGTGAATCTCTGTGAACTTGAGGTCAGCCTGATCTACAGTTCACATAAAGTATTAAGAAAAATTAGGTCTTGGGGAAAAAAAGAAAGGAAAACGGAAAGGAATTTAAAACTCCACCCTTATTTAATTTCTCATTGTCTCCTGCATTTCTGTATGGTGGCAGAAAGAACTACAATTTGAAGTAGAGTAGGTGGAGCAAATGTTTGTGTTTAAGTTTTTGACATCTTTCTCATCATAAATACTTCTGCGCCAATTTTCTTTTTCTTTTAAATATTGCATTAAATTTTACTATTGCTTTTAAATTCTTTTCCTTCACTTCTTATGTGTAGTGTGCTTGTGTCTACACATGTTGAGACATGGGGGGGTCATCATATGCCTATGTAAGTCCTCTTCCATTGCTCTTCTACATTATTTATTGAAGTAGAATGTCTCAGAAGAAGCCAGAGCTCCCATAGAGTCTGGCTCTCAAACTTGCCCTCGGGATGCCTTCTGAAGTTGTAATTACAGGCTTCTTCTCACAAGACATTTACACGTGTTCTGTGTTTACCCAAGTTCTGAGGATCCTTACGCTTGCACAATATGCACTTTAAACACTAAGCTATCATGCCAGCCCTTACCTCCGTTTGAATTCTGAGACAAGAATCCAGATTTTGGAGCAGAGAGGGCACACAGGAGGGGCATCCTGAAAACGGAGGAGAGGGAAAATCAATGCCTCAGAGAAGTGGAGATGGCTAACAGCCCATTGGGAACACACTGCTCTTTCTCGGTCAGACAAAGAAATGCCCACGGCTCAGAGTGACGGGGCCGGGGGCTGGACACATCAAAGTGACCTAGAGATGAAGAAGGGGCCTGGACTTTGCCCGACCAGACACTGAGGGCAGGCAGAGGGGCTGGGGCCGGGGGCGGGGCTTTGGTTTGTGATGCGGGTGTCACGTGACTAGCCCACGCAGGCTCACACCCCTCTCCGGGTCTCTGGACCTGCCCTGCTCACTCCCTCCAGCCCGCCATCCCTGGCTGAGGCACCTGTTCCTGGTGGCGCAGAGCGCGCGGCCTGAGCAGCGAGGAGAGCGGGAGCCCAGCAGGTGAGGAGGCAGCGGCCCGGGGCTGCGGAGCCCCCGTCGTCGTCGGGGTGCGGCGATCCCCGGCCCCGCTGTCGCAGCGCAGGCCGAGGCAGCAGGTGGCCGCCCCTGTGTGCGCAGCGGCGCGGCCAGAGGGACGAGGGCGGGCCCAGGCGGAGACCCTCAGGGAGAAGGAGCATGCGCCCCTCGACCGCTTCCACAGCCCCCACCCCATCCCACCCCACCCCACTCCATCCCACCCCACCCCTACCCATCCCACCCCACCCCTACCCACTCCATCCCACCCCGCCCCGCTCCGCTCCCCTGCATCTCGGGTACCCAGGGCTGCTCGGTGGGGCGGGGGGCGGGGGCGGCGATGGAGGAGGGAAGAGCCTGGGTGGGGGCTCCCAGGGCAGCGCCGCGAGTCCTCCCTCCCTCTCTGTCTCTTTCTCTTTCTCTCCCTCACCATCCCACCCACCCACCCCCTCCTGCCTGGTTTGTTCTCAGATCGCGGGAGCCCAGCTTCGCAGCGCACCTGGTGGTGAGCATATCCTGGAGGAGGAGAGGACAAGGTTAGGCCCAGGTGTGTACTGGCACAGGGCCGGAGGCTTGTGCAAAACTGACTCTGACATCCCACAGCCCAACTGTCCCCTCTACTTTTATACTCTTCTCCCATTCCGGGCTTCTAATTTTGCACCTGTAGGGTCTTAGAAAGGGGTTCACAGAGGAAATTATATACTTTGGGGTGGGAGGCGTTGAGGCCCAGGCCTGTGCCTCTGTTCTATGTGTTGATCAGTCTACGAAGAATGCAATCCTATCCATCTCGTTTCCTAGGAGTAATGGCATCCAAAGAGCAACAAGTCATAAAAGATCTCGCTGTGCAGAATGACGACAAAGATGAGGGAAGGAAGGCCTCTAAGCAAAGTGAAGAAGAATCCCATCGCTTGGACGAGGTTGAAAACAAGAAGCCTGGGGGAAATGTCAGAAGGGGACGGGTCAGGCGACTTGTGCCTAATTTTCTGTGGGCCATACCAAATAGACATGTTAATCACAATGAAGGGGGAGAGAATGTTGGAAAATTTGTAGGACAGGTGGTGGAAATCAAGAGAAAGTCTAAGGAACAGCAGATGAGGCCTTATGGGCGTTTCCAAACACCTGAACCTGACAATCACTACGATTTTTGCCTCATACCTTAAAATGGAAGGTTTTCTCTGAGCTCATAAAATGGTTACTGTTTTACAAGCTTGTATTTAGTGAGTTACTTTTAATGTAAACTTTGGCGTTTGCACTTAACAGTTTGATTGTTGTATTTAATTCTAAACATTCCTATCAGCATGGCAATTTAATTCATTTCAGAAAGAAATCTTTTTTCATGATTTGAAATTAATAAAGCAATTTAAAAGGCAGTAAATGCTGAGTCATGTTCTTTTACCCCATTTTTACATTTCCTTCATAGTGCCTTAACTCTCCCAGCCACTTGAACTCAAACCTATTGTCACTGGCAATTCCTTTTTTTTTCATATTCCCAATTAATCATTAAGGAACAGCCGTACCTTCAATTCATTATCTAATATTCCAACAATGTCTAGTGTTTTCAAAGAGTGTGAGTCTAGTATCTTTATGAAAACCCCTTGGGAAGGTGTTTTTAATATGAGACCTCTGGCCCTTCTCTACACTCATTATGTAGACCATCAAAACCTCCATTTTAACAAGATTCCTTGGAAATTGTGAGGTGTGCCAAAGTGCTATCGGTGTGTATATATCATAGATTAAGCACAGACAAAAGCAGGATGAATATCTACTTTTGTAGGAACAATGTTAAAAAATATAAGACCTTACATCAATTACAGTAATAGTAGGCATTATGACAAACTGGAGGGTATTCACTGTGTAAGCTCAAATATGGCTGAGGGGAACATCCATCTTGAGTGGCCTATAGTTAGTTCTTTACCTTTATTAGTACTTTTGATTTTTCTCTGTATTGCTTTGGAGCCTGTCCTGGAACTTTGTAGGCCAGGCTGGCCTCAAACTCACAGAGATCCGCCTGCCTCTGCCTCCTGAGTGATGGGATTAAAGGTGTGCACTGCCACCTGGCCCTTGTCAGCACTTTTAACATCTAAGAGCTCACTTTTTATCCTTAATATAACCTATGCAGTCTGATATATCCTCTTTACACATGAGAACCCTGGAATTGAGGGAAGCCAACTCCCCAGGCTACCCTCAAGCTGTAAGTCTTAACTGATGGATTTAGCTTGGGACATTTTGTATGGCACCCTCTCTTTGAGATGCAGAATATTTAATTGGTAACTGACACAAGCTGAGGAATCAAAGAATCAACAGAAATGAAGCTACCTTTCTGTGCTTATGTATCCAACAGACACTTTAATAGAACACTGGAACATAAAATATATTAGAATAATAGCCAAAAAGAGGCTATCAATTTGGTAAGGAGGGGTATGGGTGGAAGGAAGGGTTGGAGAGAAGACAGGAGGGAGGTAATATTTCAAAATTTTTGATAAAATCTTAAAAGACCCTTCAGTATTATTCAAACTAAAAAGTTTATGGATTACAAAAAGCAGTTAAAATCAGAGTCTGGGTGTTTGAGGTTTATCTAGTGATAGAACCCTTCAGCCTGGTATGTGCAAAGCCCTGAAGTTAATTTCCAACATCAAAAAATGAAGTCTGTCCCCCATTAGTGCAAAGAATTATTTGGATAAATGCTTTCATCTGTAGAGAAAGCTCCCTTAAAATGAGTTTCTTCTTAATTTCTTAAATATGAGTGTGAGATTTTTGCCTGTGTATATCTATGTGAACTGGTTATGTTTCTGGATCTCCTGGCACTGAAGATTCAGATGGTTGTGAGCCACATGTGGGCACTGGGAATTGAACCCAGGTCTTCTGCAGAAGCTTCAAGTTCTCTTAACTACTATTTGCTGAGACCCTTCAGATGCATTTCTAAGAGCTGAGGATATAGCTCAGTGGTACAGCACTTTCAAGCATGCATAAGTTCTTGACTTCACTCCCCAGCACTTCAAAGAATTCTAACTGGGGCACAGAAAATTTTATTTTTATTAGTGTGTATTTATTTTACAAATAATAGACTTCACACATGTACATCACACGTTTTTCTCTCATCCTTTCCCACTGTTCCTTTCTTTGCCACAAATAAGATAATAAGCCCTCTACTTTACTTTTTGTTTCTTCTTTATTTTGAGAGAGAGTAAAGAGACACAGAGAAAATTCCGGTCTTGTGAATGCTGCACAAGTGCTTTACTGCAGAGCTAGACCTCCAGACCTCGTTCTATTTTTACTTTTGAGACAGGTTATCAGTAAGCTGCCCAGGGTGGCATTGAATTCACTCTGCACCCCAAATAAGGCTTGAACTCAGGATCCTCCTACTTCAGCCTCACAAGTACTGGGTGTTACAGTCAGGACCATGCTGCCAAGCCCAGGAACTTTTATTTTTTTTAGCTCTTTATATGTTCTGGATATTAATATCCTGTTAGATTAATAGCTGGCAAATGCTTCCTCCATGGTTTTCTCTGGACTGTGTTGTTTCTTTTACAGTACAGAAAGTTATTTAATTCAGCCACATTTGTATTACTTCTGGACTGTTGATATGTATTCATAAAGCCTTTGCCTGGAACCTTCAAGTGGTTTCTCTGTGCTTCATGTCTTTCGGGGATGTTTAATCTGCTCAAACTTTGATTTCACAGATAAGGAAACTGGACAAGAAAACGATTTACCTACAGCCGCACAGCCAATTTGTGGAAGGGCCGTGTCCACAGGCTTTATCTATCAATTTCCAGTTTGAGGGGGTTGTGTTCTCACTCCAGTGGCTACAGAGAGCATTGTTTGGAAATGTTTAGAGCCTATATTGATTGCCAATAAATGTGAATGAGTGATAATGCACACTTGTACACAATCAAAGTTTGCTGTTCATATTATTTAGTCATCAAAGTTGCTACTTTCTGAATCAAAATCTGTTTAAAGCCAACTCCATGCCTATATAATTTTGGAGCTGTAATCACCTGCCATTTCCCAAAAGGAAGGAGATGATAGTCTAGTCAGAAAATGCACAATGGTTAACTATGGGCAATTGACAAAGGCTTGCAGATTGAAGTTCATGAATGTTCCTTTAGCGCTTTTGAAAACAGTACTTGAGCCTGTCTAACCGATCAGCAATCAGCAAACTCCCACTTAACCTCTTCTTTTTTTAAAGCTAAGAATGTAGGAGGAATCAGAACATGATTCCATCCAGAGAAAGAAAACAGAAGCTCCTTCATCAGGGTTGTGAAAAGGGCAAAGGACGAGTGCAGAGATTATGGAAGGAAAAAGAATATGTGGATTCAAAATATGGTTTGTTCAGTACTTAAAAGAATCTTGTCCCTTTAATGGGATAAGGACACAATGTTCTCAAAGCAGTTAAGGTTAGGGAATAGTTCTACTGTGCTCTTGGTTTTGAGCTAGATGAAAGACCCCTCTAGGGCTGGAGGTGTGTATCTCTACATTTGTGGGACCCTTTATTCACCCCACAATACCACACACAAAAAATAATAACCCATCTCCTGGTACTTTGTTTGGTGTTTAAAACAAGCAATATCTAAAAGCAAAGTTCAGGGGCCATGATCTCATTGTTTAAACTTAAAGGAAGGTTTCTTTCTAGAGGTTTCTGCAGAGGTAGAGGACAGGATTTCCTGGGGGGAAAATGTTAAGAAAAGCCACATCAGAATGCTACTGAAAGAAAACTGGATCATCCCAGTGAATAGTTCCATTAATTTATACATCTTAACTAAGGGTCAAAATTCTTTGATTTTGGTTGGTGCTGTAGTCTTGTCTTTCATTTTGTTTGTTGTTGTTTGTTGTTTTTGTTTTTTGATGCAGGGTTTCTCTATGTAAAGTTGGCTGTCCTGGAACTCATTCTGTAGACTAGGCTGGGCTTCAACTCAGAAATCCACCTGCCTACTGAATGCTGGGATTAAAGGTGTGCATCACCACTGCCCAGCAACTGTCTGTCAAAAGTCTTTGAAAAGAAGAACATATGTATTTTATGACATAAATAAAAGTGCAACAAAAGATCATCAAAGTCATCCTTATCCATCCTTTCTGTGTTCATTTTGTAGATTTGGGTTTCTTTAAAAATGTACATGCATTTATATTGTAGAGCAAGACTTGAGATAAAAAGCCCAGTAATCAATGAGAGAAAGTGTGAGGAAATCTTCCAAAAGAGGAGAATCATGCCTATGTAACAAAGCAGTTGTATTAGTATAAAGTCTTGTTGCTGTAACAAAATGCCTGATAAAACCAACAGAAAGAAGGAAGAAAGGCAGGATTATTTTGACTACTACATCAAGGGTAGAGTTAGGCAGTTATAGTGGCAGAGGCTGTTAGTGATACTTTGTCTGCCACCAGGAAAAAACAGAGTGACAAATGCTAATACTGAGCTTACTTTCAACTATTTTAAGTTTGGCATTCTGGGTGGTTTTTCCCACATTGATCCAACTAGTCTAAAAGTTTGTCAAAGACATGCAAGGAGGGCTATCTCCTGGATCCTATCAAGATGACAATTCAAAGCATCAAGCAACATATACTGCCTTCTGAAAATTACAGGAAATGGAATAATCACTGAAGTAATATTTACAGCAGTGTTTGTGTCCTCACAAAATTTAGGTTGAAATTCTGCCTTCTGGGTGATTATAATAAATACATTCTATAGTACTTTTCTATGAATTCTGTCATAAAGAATGCATTATCTTTTCTTTTTCTCTGGCTTCCTTCATCACACAAAATGATAATGGATCTGATAATATATGTTTTTCTGTTTCAGAATAGTGTTCCATGATATGTCAAATATTTTTACCCACTCATCTGTTGTTAAACATTGAAGTACTTTTACAATTCCATATCTTACAAATAAGGCTGATATAAACATGTACAATTTTTACATATTTATCTTTGCATTTTTCATGGGTCAATACATAGGAATGAAATGATTAGATTGCAAAGATATTGCCTATTTAGTTTTTTAAAAACTGTTCTCCACAGTAGCTTTACCATTTTATAATCCAATCAGAAGAGGAAGAAAATTCCAATTTCTCCACATGTTCACACATACTTAATGTGATCAAATTAATTTTATTATTACTTATTTAACCACTCTAAAGAACATGTACATCTATTCTAATTTTTCTGATGA